ATGTGATGAATATAACATTAACCCCTACATGTCCACGACAACAAGGAGCATTCCATAGTACGAAAAGATTATCTGGAGGAATATCAAGTGAAGTGAAAGATGATAAAAAAATAGAAACTAATGAACCAATAGTCACAGAAATTCTTGAATCAATTCAAGAACTTGCACAACTTTTAAATAGTAGAGGAATTGATCTTAGTAGTGGCAAAATGCCATCAATGATACAAGTATCTAGGATTGCATATGATGAAGAGGTGACGGCAAAGTTTAAAAGCGTTAGTTTACAATTTCATGAAGCCGGTATTGAATTTGATCTTAAAACAGCACAAAAGTATTTGAATATAGCAAATAGTAAACAAGCAATTGACAATAAATAAGAAACGAAATTTAAAATTACAATATATACAAGTTGAAAATCCGAAAGTTGACACTGGATCTATTTAGTAGATAAATTTTTTTTAAAATTAAGTATAAGCGATTAGGATTATAACTAGGGTTGGGCCTTTGCATCGGGCATTATACTGTTATAGATTAGCAGTTTCTGAGAAAGAACAAGATAATTTTATAGCTAATATGCCTTGAATCTGGAATCCAGAAAGAATTTGAAGAGAATCACTTAAATTATAACCGAATGTTACTAGCTAGTTACATACATTTTACAAGATATATTTAGGTGGCAACTTCTATGAAGTACTCTGACCTTTTTACATTTGCAATATGTGTGATGGTAACGATCATGCATATGCTTGTTTTATATGTATAATTTCTTATAGAATCAAATTCGGGAAATTGCTCAGGCGTTGAAAGTTCAAAATTTTAGGGACTTTGTATTCGATCAAATTTAGAGAGGGTTAGTTTTAAAAAGGGATATTTAAATAAAACAAGTTTTGGTTAAGGATTACTGACAAATTATAAACTTGTAATTTATTTATTAATAATAATTGATCAAAATTCTAAATATATGTACGTATCAAGAATAGTTTGTAAGTTAGTCGTCTATAAATATCTATACCTATATGACCAATTAAAGTTATATCCATTTGAAGAATAAATAAGTTGAAGACTTCAAGAGTGTAGAAATTTCTAGTATGGTTTTCACGACTTTTGAAATGTTGTTTGTTTATTACACAAATATAGAAATGTATATAAATTTACACTATGATTCATAAAATACGTATTTATAACCATTATAATTTAGGTTATGATGCATTACTTTGCGATATATAATTAATACTGTAATATATAGTAGCATTTTTAGACTGACGAAACCAAAAAAGGTAGTCGATAATAAAGAAAGTACCATTTTTTGTCTTAATTTTGGAATTGAACCTGTAGTGAATGAATCTAAGATAAAAATATTATTCAATTTGTCTCATATTATTGTTAAAATATCAAATTTCAAGAAAACGTGACATTATTAAAAATATAGAATATTATTAAATCATGGCATTTACAGCATGTCAGAAACTAAATTATGTATTTTATTTCTTTTGAAATTATAATAGCATCATATAATGTATAATCCTATTTTTCTAACAGAATAAAAAAAAAAAAAAAACCCAATATAATATTTGAATCAATTTTAACAGTGATCAATACCAGCTTTAGATTCTGAAAATCCAGAATCTTGACGAAATGCATTTAGTTTAGAAATTGGAGATTTATCATTTGGAATATAAGAAATGTCTTCCATAGGTTCTGCATGAAAATCTGCTTTAAGAACTGGAATCAGTACGGTTTTACAAACTTGTTCGTTACCGGATTTACCAATGACTTTGGAAGATTTTTGAGGAAACATAATCTTTGTGGTGTTTATCATAAGTTTTTGTAAGTCTTCAAGACTACATTTCGATAAGTCAGAAAGCCGTCCACTGTATGTGGATGATCTGTCATCACACTTTAGTTACACGCAAAAAAAAAATTCAATCATGAATAAATTACAATTCATTTATTTAATGCATTTAATAGCATCTGTTTATTATTAACATTAATAATAATTACCTTGGTCGTCTTGGCGAAGTCATCTACTAATCGTTCAATTCTTTCAACATGTTCACTCAACAGTTCCACATTACTCTCATTTTCTTTACATTTTGAACAGTTGCCATATCGTTTCTCTTGTGTCGAATTTTTTCTCGGTGATGAATTATTAGTTTTTCCTAGTGTAGTGACCTTTATTCGTTGAGTACGAGTATACGTTCGTGTTTTTCGGTTACACGTTACTGGTTTTTCAGTGTCAGTATCTGAATTATTTTTTGTTCTGTTGGTAGTAGTAGTCGATGATGTTATAGTCATGTTTGTTTGTTATATAGTATTATAATGTTAAATCCTATATAATTTTATGTTTGAATTTTCTTCCGCCCGAACAAAACTTTTGTCAACGTGCTAATTTTTTAAGGGGTCTGAATATTTATGTATATTCTATATGAATACGTAGTTGTATGAATAGTTATATAAATAGTTGATGTTGAATAGTGGTTAGTGGATACGTAACTATAATAATTATATAACTATATCGATATAAAAATAAAAAAATTTCCGTAACAGAAATTTTTAAATTTTTTTTTTTTTTTTTTAAAAAAAAAACCATTTACAATTTATATAAAAAATCACAATTATTAATTAAGAAAGCTGCCACAAATTGCTAATTTTGATTTACGATCATGTGTTAAACAAGTTATCGTAAATCTTTGCTATTTTATGTTGCCTTTACGGAGCAATTACCTAATGCCGATATTGTTACAATTCCTTAATCGTTATACTTTCTCTCAGCCGGTGATAATACTCCGTTAGCATTACCGTTTTCGATCTTTATTATTTATCTACTATTTCAGTATTTATCTACAATCTTTTTTTCACTGATTGTTTTCACACCGATTACTTGAAGTTGACATTTAAAAAGATATTGTTTCTGGTATGTTTGATTCCGTGTTTTTAAATTGTATAAATTTTTTTTTTTCCTTTATTAAACTTAATATCCAATCCAAATTATTTATACGGTCTTTAATGTCCGGGTTTTGCTATGACCTCAATCTTATTGGATTTATTTGTACTAAAAGTAATATATTAATTAAATTTGTTTAACACTATGTATATGCTACAAATGCTATTTAACTGTTAATATCATTAATGCTAAGTTACTATATACATAGAAATGGATTTGAGAATTTAAGGCTGCATTCGGTGTGGTGCCACATTTAAGGGTTAGGTCTGATTGTGCATATTGATATATATATACATATTTACTATGTAATACTATGAATAGTTTTTTTTGCTAATTGTTGTATATTAAAAATAAAATTGACCAAGTTAATTTTACGTATACAATAGCATTAAAATAGATGTTTTACATACGTATCGATATGTAATACGTAAAATTTAATCCGGAATAACATTCCGGAATAGATTATGAAGGGTCGAGTCTAGATCTGGAGTAATAACTCCCAGAGTAGTATAGTTTTAATGTTTACTCTAGCAGAATATACTCCACGCCACTCTGGATTACTTCTCCATGCTATCGCATTTGAATTCCGATATTTTCTGGATTACTTCAAAGTAAACATTTGAAGTCCGATATTTGAGAAATTGGCTAAGTTAATCATGCCAAATATTTCTATATGGGGTGAAAACCATGCTTACGTAGAGTATATATATTAGATACGTATACT